CCCCCCCCCCCCCCCCAAAAAAAATAAATAAATTTTATCCTTAATTTTTGGACATTGGAAGTTTAAAGTAACTTTGTTGTTTCTGTGCAAAATTTTCTGGACGTTTTTCTTTGAACGAATCGGTTTGAAGGCCGGTGAGCTGAGCGGTTAGAGGCATGCTCCACGTGAAGCCGAGCAGTCGACTCGCGCGCACGTTCGTCTTCACAACTTTCAGTCCACAAGATGGACAAGAGCTCCTGGGAAGCCCCGCCCCCTGCAGTTTATGTCACCACGCAGGTTTCTTCCTGCCAGTCTCCACTCCGTCCCTGCAGCCGCCGTGTGTCCACAGATCTGTCATGAAGAGAGCGCCGCACTTTCCAGCAGGCAAACTCCTCCGTGCACGGTGTGTGCACGATCTCCATCCAGGAGATTTTATCCATTCGACTAGTGTTTTTAGAGTCGTACAGTTGAATGTCCAAGCATATTCATGCATTGACGAACACGCCCACAAACTTCTGATCAATCACACAACACTTGGCGCACACGCCTGTGAGAAAAAAGTTTGGCCTGGGGACGGGGCTTGTTCCGAAGGGGCGGAGCTTCTCTGAGAACAAAATGACGCGATTTTTGTCACGCAACTACGTCAGCGAGAGCCGATTTCACTGCTTCGTACGGAGTCTTCAGTCCTCTGCTGAGACTAGACGTACGTCCAAGGACTCACGAGTCAGCAGCTCAGTGTGGTAGTAGCTGAGAGTCATCCCAACACAAACTCTGAGAACTGATCTCAGCAGGAAGTGACTTCCTGTCGGTGCAGGTCCAAACACAGGACACGCAGCGTCAGTTTGTCCATGGGACACAGAGGGGCTCAGCGGTTGTTGATTCAACGGTTCTGATGGAGCGTTTTCACTTCTCCTCCCTTTAACATCGTCTGCAGCGTTGGCACGTCGTCACCTGTAAACAGAAACCACCGAGTCCTCTCCGAGCATCAAATCAGACCCTGAAGCCTTTGTTCCACTTTCTATGAGTTACTGGATGAAGTCACAGCGAGGTTCTGTTACGAGACGTTTAGTTGGTACCGTCTGACGAACGCCTCATGTCTGCTGCTAAAACCTTGTTTTTTGTTTGTTTGTGTTTTTAGTTGTTTTTTGAAGACAACATCGACGATGCGAAATACTGCGGCAGACTCTACGGCCTGGGCTCGGGCTCCAGCCAACCCCAGAACGGCATCTCCAGTTCTGGACCAGAGGAGACCAACAACAAGCACTGACCGAGCGTTCCACTCCCCGCACACGGACTCGTTTTTAAACCCTCAACAGGTTTTTGCTCTCGGGTTCCTGAATCCATCTGAGCCTGTCAGCACTGATGGACTTGAGAGAGCGGAGCCCTCAGTGGCTCGACCCGTTTCTTTTTTAACCCCATTTTAAGACCAGACAGTCGGACCAGCTTTGTTTTTGTTGTTTTTTAAGGATCTTTGCTTTTCCAGCATCAGTTCCAGGATGGAGGCAGCTCCTGCGTCAAACTGTGATTTTAGACTCTTCAGTTCAGACTCTCCTCGTCGTCGTTTATTTTTTAATTTTTGCAGAGATTTAATTTGTCACGTTCACGCTGGAAGGGCCTGCACGTTCAAACGTAAAATTCTGATGAGAATGAAACCGTTTTAGCTCGTTCCGAACCACGGGGACTGCAGCGTGTAGAAACGTGTTTTCATCGAGCGAACCTTCGCCTGATTTTACATCCTGCGCTGTTTTCAACAGTTGGACATTAAATCGTTATTTTCTGTGTATTTTGTTTCTCTTGTTGATTTATCCACAAACTCCTGAAAAGAAACTTTCAAACCTTTTGTTTAAGGTTTCAATGAGACATTCAGACAAACTAATTAGTGGAGACGTTAAGTTGCTCCAATAAAATAACGTTTTCTGTCGGGTCTTTGAGGTTCTGATGTTCTGACCCAACTTCATTCTGGTTCAGTTTGTTATCAAAGGTGTTTATTCAAGTCACAGCTGTACAGGTGAGGCGTTTGAGTCTGCAGGAAAAACGACAATCACGTGAAGAACGGCTGCGAGGCCTTCAGGATCCGAGGACCGGTTCCGTACTTCCGCAGCAGATCTTTGGCCGTCTCCTGGAGGACGTCGGAGACGGGAGAGGACTTCCTAAGATGCAGGAGAACGAGGCAACATTCCACCACATCTGGGTGAGGAAACATCTGGAAGACAAAGAGGTGCGGTCAGTTTGAACCGTGAGCTCTGGAGCGGTTCTGACCCGACTGAGGCAGAATCGAACCACAAGTTAAACACGATGTAAGTTTATAGAGTAAATGTCTGAGTCACTCGTTTAATCGCCAGCGGCCAGCTTTAAAGGAACAGTTCAACCATTTTGAAGTGGGTGTTCGCTGGGTGACAAGTGGATTTTCACTCCCGTCCCACTCCCACAGAAAAAAATCTTGTCCCATCCCACTCCCAGTGAAATGACTCCCACTCCTGGACCGCTCCATATACTGAATTTGATTTAATCTACCCTTTCCTTTTTATTGTACTTTGTGTTCAACAGACGTGTCAGCAGGAACGGTTCATCTGGAGAATCCAAACAAAAACCTTCACTAGGGCACTTTGTTTCGTGCATATCATAGTTTATATCTTAAACCCTTATATACTGTTTAGTTTTACAATTTATATTGTTGCTATTGTTGGGTGTAACTGAGACCCTGTGTACATAATTTCATTCCACCTCATGTACCACGTGATGTGAACGACACCAAACAACTTGAACAAAACAAATAACACACGGCCTGTGGTCCCTGTAGTTTTTCTAGAGGATCAGCTGCTGAGTCCTGGTTTCTAACATGCATAAACCTTCACCTGCTGCACCCGAGTTTTGGAGAAAGTGCCTCTGGAAACGACTCTGGTGTACTTGACTAAGACTAAACATGTTTTACAAGCAGCGTACAGCGTGTTAACACCGTCTCTCCTGAAGTTCAGGATTATTTCAGACTTTCCCGACACTTCTGGAGCTTCATAGATACATCGATACTTTGACTTTACGTTGTAAAAACTGTTTTTACCACCCCGGTCTCTCCGCTGGTCTTTGAATTGCAGTAGAAAGCAGCAGCTGGAAGCACTGTTGACTTCTGGGCCGTGTAGTTCTTTTTACTTGCGTTACAGTGCAGGCTTATTGAGAGAAAACTACAAAATGGCGGCGCCTGTCCAAAGTTTTTTGTTTTTGCTTTTTGTCCTATTGGTTGGTTCCCGCTCCCATTAACTTTTTACCCCCTTCTGTCCCAATCACGAGTAATATCAAAGTTGACTCCCATCCTGCGAGAATCACGTGACCCATGGGATTCCCGAAAAAATGTCAGCCTCCAATTTGGACTAGCCTTTAGCTCATCAAACTGAGGTTTAAGAAGCCATCTACAACAGGTGGGATGTTTACTCTTCAAAATGTTGAGCGGTTTCCTGCAGGAGTTTTTACCTTGATGGTGCTCTGCTCCACCAGCTCCTGCTGGAGTTTGGACATCTTGGAGGACAAAGACAGAAAAGTCTCCTCGTTCTCAGAACTGAAAATCATTTAGATTTGTTAGAATAAACCAAATGCTAACATCAGATTTATTAATAAACCAAACGCTAACATCAGTTTTATTAATAAACCCAACGCTAACATCAGATTTATTAATAAACCAAACGCTAACATCA